CACCTCTGACCTAAAACCTGCAGGATGGTGGCCCTCCAGGACCAGGATGGTCACACCTTCAGTGGGGGCGGGGCTCTGATCTGCCCATCAAAGCCCCGCCCCTCCACCATCAGGAACAAAAGGTAAATTGAAAAGAGATGAAGTTCCTTCTAAAAGACGATTCAAGGTTTAAACTAAACGAGGAACTTCTGCTTCACCTGACTGACGACTTAAGTTTGTAGGATTTTTCTACCTGACTGTTTTAATCAGTCTTCATAACTTTTATTTTTTAAAGTGACTTGTTAGAGAACTGAATGACTTCATGTTTGTTCCTTTTTACTTTGGGCCAGTTTGATTCAGAATAAGAAATAGAGAATAAACAAAGTTTGAAGTCAGAGCCAGTCACAGGACATGAAGAAGACTTCCTGATGGATGGAAAGCTTCACTAGAGCACAAGAGGCAAACTTCACAACAGACAGAACCACCAGAACAGCAGTCCAGATGTGTCTTGAAGCCAACAGAACTCGACCCAGCAGCATGCAGCACTGCTCAATCAAGTTTATTTAAATACAGACCAAGAAAAGCCATCAACCTATCATCAACAATATTACATTCTGTGGGAGGGGCTTGTTGCCATGGTAATGCCTCCTACAGATCACTTTTTGGCGGCGGTGGCGGCTCGTGCTCGGTTCAACTTGTCAATCAGCAGGCGGTCGGAGGCGGAGCATCTGGAGAGAACCGCCCCCATCTCCGACTCGCTCCGACGCTCAATGGCAGCATCTGCCGCCCCCTCCAGATCACTACAAGAAGAAAAGCAGTGAGCCAGGGGTGGAGCTAAGCAGTTTGATGAGGTCATAGCGCTGTCTTACCTCACAGCCAGGTGAGCTTTGACCTTCTGCTCAGGTGTGACCTTGGAGATATATTTCTTGGCTTCATACCTGTTGTTGTTCTTCATGCAAACCTCCACAAAGGCCTGAAGTACAAAAGCAGCAAAGGCTCAAGGGAAAAGTAGTTTGCTGTACAAGTATGCTGGAAATAAAGGGGCGGGGTCTCTTACAAGGTAACCAATGGGAGACTTCTTGCTTTTGGAGAATTTCTCTAACTCCTCCCACTCCTCCTTCTCTGCCATAGACTTGAGCTTCAACCACCAATACCTGCGCAGGTAAAACCAGGTAATGTTTGATTGACAGGTGAGAAACGTGTTTTTTGTTTCTAATGAACATTTCCTGTGTGTGACTTTTATTTTAGGATTCAAAACTGAAACATCATTTGGAACCGAGACTGTCCAACAGGGACAAATGGAGGGACAGACCCAGGGACAGCAAATCACAGCCCACGTCTCACTGACATCACATGGACTCACCTTTTGTCAGGTACTCTGAAGTCTTTGTAGAGCTGCTCTGCCTGTTTGTGAAGTCCTAACGACATCAGCGCCTCCATGGTTGCCTGGACAGAAAGTGACATCACTAAAAAAACACTAGACTTACCGTAATTGCCGGTTGTAAGCTGTGCATACTAAATTTAAAATCAAACAAGTTTGTGCTGTAATTCCTACGGTAAATAACCATTCAACCTACAGAATGAAAACAAACTAATCACTGGACATAATAAACACCTACGCAACCAAAATTATTAAAAAATTTAGATACCGGTAAATTTTACCCACAATCCCTACCTGAGGCCATGTGACCGGCAGGACCTGGAAAAATACTACAGTACGGTAAATGTTTATTAAATTAAATTACTGCCATTGATTTTTATTAAGGAACCCCACCCCACCCTGCTACAGGCTGTGTCCACACGGTCCCGCCTCGGCTCCTCCCCTCAACGTTTCAGCCCCCTCCCCCTGATATTTCATTTGAATTTATTTATAAAGCACAAAGAGTCGTCTCAGAGCACTGCCCAGAAACATTCACATGCAGAATGTCAGTTAACGTTATTTATCTAAGGAGCCAGCAGATTTTAAACAGGAGATCTGATCAGTGCACGTCTACCCTGGGCTGGGTCCTCACGACTCACCGAGTACCTCATTGGTCAAAAAGCTATCTCCTGGTCACATGACAACAGAGTGGAGAATTGTGGGTATTTAATAGCAAAATTGGAACCATGAGAGAGGGGTGTGGTTACCCCGTCTGTTGCGGAAGCACAATCCGTAGTGAAAAACAATCCTTCCAGGTCACACGGGTGATGTAGCGCTACTTCACTTCACCACGCAGCGGCGCCGTTTCACCATGGAAATAATTATAATATTGGTTTATAATCATTAAGAAATCACCACTAATTTAAGTGCGTGCTTTATTTCAGTGGTAATGAAGAGTTGTGTAAATAAAAACCACCACTAGATGGCTGGAAAAAAAATTATATACAGTATATCAGACTTATTAATTAATGATTAATCAAAATCAATCAAATGGTTTCTTAATCAAAGCCAGCATAAAGTGGTTGCTTTTATTTACACAACTATTCATTACCACTGAAATAAAGCACGATGATTATAAACCAATATTATAATTATTTCCATGGTGAAACAGCGCCACTGCGTGGTGAAGTGAAGTAGCGCTGCATCACCCGTCCGACCTGGAAGTATTGTTTTTAGCGCATGCGCAAATGAGCTGACATTACGGATGGTGCTTCCGCAACAGATTGGGTAACCACAAGGGGTACCGTCATGAGTACCTGTGGCAACAAAGTCCATGCTCAATAATCCAGGTATACAATCCAACATTTTTCAGTCAGGTCATCTGGACAGTTTCTTTTTTTTTGTGCTGAAACATTTCACCTTCGATCCGGAAGGCTTCATCAGTCAAGGAAACACACAACAAAACTGATTCTTCCTCCCAACAGCTTCCTCCAAAGTGGAACAAACCAGTTATGTTGGTGCCAAGATGGTCTCTGTGACACACCCCCTCCTCCATTGCTGGCCCTCTTCCTTGTTGACAGTTGTGTCAAACTGGTTGAAAACAAGTACCTGTGGCATTAACTCCGTCTGTGTCACTAAAGCCCGCCCCCAAGAGGGGCAGGTGTTGGGCAGCCACATGAGCACCCAGGTGTGTATATATGTATACAAACAAAACGCAGGGTCCAAAGCATGAGAAAAAATTAGCGGCTTATACATTGGCAATTACGATGAGTTTAAACTGATTAAAAGAACTGAAAATCCTCATCATACACCTGTAGGACCATAACCCACACTTTGACCTACCTGCAAAGAGAGCCCAAGAAGCCCCGCCCCTTTCTCATCATCCATCTTTCGTTGAAAGCGAAGAAGCCGCATCTCTTCCTCTGTGGCCTGAAAACAGAATCATCGAAAGCGTGTTTCATGTCGTGGACAGAAATGTTTGGATGGAAAACAATGTTTTGGACAGGTGTGTCATGTGACCTCTTCTTGTTACCTTGGCAGCAAAGTCATTTTTAGCCTTGGTATATTCGTCCACAGCACTCTGCAGGTGAGACAGTCTTCCCTCCAACCTCTGAGGACAGAAAGGGCAGGGTTAGAGACTGCAGGACAAGCACGTGTGGTCTGTCACAGGTGTTGTCCTTACCTGTTCTCTGTAACTGGCCCTGACGTGGAAGTTAGCCAGTTCTTGATGATCGTCATCCTGGTTGTAAAGATCTTTGAGCGTTTCCTGCTCCTGCAGCTTACAGAACTGATAACAGAAAGGTGCAGGTTCATTGTCAGCCGCTAACAGCCACTGAATCGATACAGCCAGGTGAGCTCACCTGCCTGTAGAGGCTGAGCGCCACTGGTTGGTTTCTCAAAGTCATGAAGAAATCTCCTCGATTCATCTCGTTCTTCAGGTACGTTACCACCGTGTAAACTGACAACACAAAGAGACCATCAGTACCTGTCACACACCAGGTGGACACGTGGGGGCGGAGCCTAACCACCCACCCAGGTCAGTGTCACCGCTCTCCACAGCTTTACTGAGTGCCAGTTGACTCCTCTTCATCTTGAGCAGAAGAGGAACCTGCTCACCAGAGCGAGCCTCGAAGTCCAGCAGCTAAAAACAGAAAAATATTTCAGAATACACTAAAAGACAAGAAAGAAGGGGCAAAAATACTCAAATACAGAAACATTATTTAGAATAATGCAAGTGTGGGAAGGGTTTAAAACAACTTAATAAACATAAATAATAAAATAAACTACTACTTTCTACTTGTACTACTATTCCTACTTTGCGGTTTTTCACTTATCAGAATCAAGTTTTATCATCATCGTACTGGAGTACAGCAAGATTATGTCCGGACGTCGTCTGAAAGATGGGCGGAGTGCACGTGGCTACAGCTCTTGGGAGCGCGGCCCCTTATTCTTTAGATAGAAAAGTGGGAAAGGCCATGAGGAAAGGATAGTGGCATTACAAAAAGGATCTCTTCACACCTCGTCAGGACACAATTTAAGACATCAAAAAACTCTACCAGCAGCACATTTATACATTACATGTGCATCTGACGACAAGACGTGACATTTGTCCATGAAGCACTTCCAGACAGCACCACAGTCCTGATAGTTGCGCGGGGTTTACACATATCCCAGGAGAAATTTGATAAGTTGGCCTACTTCAAGGCTGAACGGGGAGTCAGATTCAGATGAGCCACAGTTGTTAATTTTTTCAGGCAGACTGTTGTTTCTCGTCAGCCTCGAGTTCTGCTGGTACTCTCAATGATCCAAAATGGCCAGATTTGTGGGCATTCCACTGAGCCGTGCTTATTTGCCCCCTCCAATGTCGTCCCAAGCATGCTGGCGAGTTCCAGAAGCCGCAAGTGGCTTATGATTCTCACAAATTGCTTCTATCTTACGGTTGAGCTTTTAAATCAGCTGAGTCTGAGAGCTCAAAGCACAAACTGATCCTTCACATAAAATCAGTAGCTTTGCCATGGCCAAAAATGCTGCCGCCATCTTCTTTAATAGCCGATAACATCGGTATCCGTCAGTGCCAAAAAGCAGAAACCCTGCCATCATAAATCTAATGATATAAACATCTTCGGCATCCTCCTGAGACAATACAGAAAGGCACATCAACTTATCCACAACGTTTCCAGCCGTGTGCATCTCAGCGGGGCATCAGGGCTCACCAGGACCCTGTCGCTTGGTAGAAATTTTTTTTTTATAAATTGCGTTGAAAGTCCAGCTGACCAGATCCATGACAGTAATGTACGAATTGGAAAATGCATAGAATAGAAAAGAATAAAATAGAATAGAAACAGCCTTTATTGTCCCACGGATGGGAAATTCAAGTGTAACAGCAGCATGAAAAGATTCACACACAAGTTCCTAAATGTTAAAAACAATATATAAAGAAACAAGATGAACAATATCAATAATAATGTCCAATATGTATTGGAACATTGATAAGGACAGAGTATTGACAGCACAGTGTTACAGGCAGAGTGTGTATTTCAGCAGAGGTCAGCATGTATTTAATCCTTATTGAGTTTGTTGGAGCAGTGATGGTTGTAGAGTCTAACAGCTGCTGGAGGAAGGACCTGCTGGAGGAAAGACCTGCGGTGACGCTCCTTTGTGCATTTAGGAGCAGGAACCTGTCACTGAACGAGCTCTCCAGTTCAGCAGCAGCTTCATGGGGTGGAGACGTTGTCCAGCAATGATGTTATTTTAGCTGGAGTCCTTCTGTCTCCCACCACCTGCACTGGGTCGAGGGGGCGTCCAAGCACCGAGCTGGTCTTCTTGATGATCTTATCTAGCTGCTTCTTCTCAGCTGATGATAAGCTGCTGCTCCAACACACAACACCATAGAAGATGGCTGATGCCACTATTGAGTCAAACAAGGTCTTCAGGAGCACCCCCTGCACTCCAAAACACCTCAGTCTCCTCAGCAGGTAGAGTCTGCTCTGACCCTTCCTGTAAAGTGCCTCAGTGTTGTGAGACCAGTCCAGTTTATTGTTCAGGTGAACACCCAGGTACTTGTAAGAGTCCACGATCTTGATATCCACTCCCTGGATGTTCACCGGGGTCAGTGAGGTGGACCTGTGCCTGTGGAAATCCACAACCAGCTCCTTAGTTTTAGCAGCGTTGATCAGGAGCTGGTTCTGCTGGCACCAGTCCACAAAGTCTTGAGTCCGCTGTCTAAATGCATAAATAGAAGCTCCGATACACAGGACAGAGAGCAAAGAAGCAGGAGGGAGATGGGAGGAAGAAAATGTGTCCATCTTGCTCAAAAGCGAGTGAAGAAAATAAATAAATAAATTTTTTAAATCGCAGGTCTTCAGGGTACGGATCCCCCGCGATAAACGAGGGACTACTTTATACTCCAGAAAATACTAAAAAAAATTACAATACATAAAATAAAAAGAACACTGCAACACTGCAAAAAAAAGTACCTACAATGCTGATGAAAAACATTAAAAAGCAAAAAATATTGTGAAAAAGTACAAAGTAGTAAAAAAAAAAGATTGTGATGGCAGTGAAAGAGAGAGTCCAGGAAGGATGAGGTGGATGGAGAAAAGTTTCAGGAGTGATTTGTGACAAAAGGGTGTCAGTAAAGGTCAAAGGAAAAGTTTACAAGGCAGTGGTGAGCTCTGACCTCCCATCACAACTTCTCATTAACTCTGTTCCTGTGTCAAATAAGCACGAGATCCTGAACTGTTTCAACAAACATTTTGTTGCTTCTAGTTCTTTATTTGACACAGTTACTAATGGAAGATCAGCCACTTCACTTAATAATCAAACTTCTACAAATCAAATCCCTCCTACAAGTCAATCCTCAGTTAATCACACCTTCTCTTTTTCTCCATTCTCAGTCAGTGAGGTCAACAAACTGTTAAAAGATCTTGATCCTAAAAAATCTGCAGGTCCAGATGAACTTCCACCTTACTTCTTAAGGCTGGCTGCTCATATCATCACAGTCCCTGTGACCCACATCTTCAATCTCTCCATAAGACAAAACTCCATCCCAGACACTTGGAAACAGCCTTTGTTCTTCTTTGCTGAAGGGAGGTGACCCCACCTCACTGAACAACTATGGACCAATCTCTAAACTCTGCATTTTAGTCAAGGTTCTAGAAAAACTGATAAACTCTCAAATCAAAAATGACCTGGACTCATTTAACATCTTACCTCCACATCAATCTGGTTTCAGGAAACAACACAGCACAACCACTGCTTCACTGAAGGTTCTTAATGATGTTGTTGAAGCACTGGATGCTAAGGATTATTGTGCTGCACTTTTCTTAGATCTGTCTAAAGATTCTGACTCTGTGGATCAGAACATCTTGTGTCATAAACTCTCAGAAATCGGTTTCTCATATCACACCATTGGAGGCAATGTGTTCAACATAATGGTACTTTCTCCAGTTATTTAACAGTCAACAATGGTGTACCACTGGTGGATCTGTGGTGGAAGTGGTCTCCAGCTACAAGTACTTGGGTGTGCACCTGAACAACAACCTCAGCTGGAGCAACAACACCACCAGCCTGATGAAGAAAGATCATCAGAGACTCTACTTCCTCAGACGGCTGAGATGAGCTGGTCTGGAAGCTCAGTCCTCACCTCCTTCTACAGGTGTGCAGTGGAGAGCATCCTGTGCTCCAGCATCAACGTGTGGCATGGAGGCTGCACAGCTGCAGAAAGAAAAGCTTTGCAGAGAGTGGTGAAGGCTGCACAGAAGATGTTGGAGTCAGCCTCCCCACCATCACAGACATCTACACCTCCAGATGCAGGAAGAGGGCCACCTGCATCATGAAGGACCCAACTCACCCAGCACACACACTTTTTGTCCCCCTCCCCTCAGCAATGTGTAGAACCACTAGACTGAGGAACAGCTTCTACCCTGAGGCTGTTAGACTCATGAATCTCTAACTAGAATAATCACTGTGAAGAATCACATCATGTTGCTGCTGATCTGTTTCATGTTGCTGCTGATCGGTTTCAATGTTACGGCTGATCTGTTTCACGTTGCTGCTGATCTGTTTCATGTTGCTGCTGAACTGTTTCATGTTGATGTGTTCATTCGTGCTCATCTGCTCACACAGACTCATGTCCATGCTGATGTTCGACGTAATGTTTTTATGTTATGAGTGCTTATTGTATATTTAGTTGATGTTTTTTCTTAGTTCATATCTTTGATCTTATTACTGTTTTTTTTTTACATTTTATTGTTGGATGTAACAGGGACCCTGTGCACACAATTTCATCCCACCACATGCACTACATATGGTGGGAACGACAATAAAGAATCTCTGAATCTGACAAGGCTCAGTCTTTGGACCCACCCCTCTTTACAATCTACATAGGTAATGTACGTCAGAGCATCCCTGATGCACCTTACATTTCTACGCTGATGACACAGTTGTTAATCGTCGAGCTAAAACAGTTGAAAAGGCTCTCAAGCTTTTACAATCCACCTTTGACATCATCCAGTCAGATTTGTTCCACCTCAAACTTGTCCTAAATGCTGATAAAACCAAAGGGATGCTTTTTTCAAATAGGAAGTTGGTCCCAGCAGTTCTTCCTCCGATTTTATCCTCAAATGGTGTCCCCATTGAGTTTGTTGATTCCTATAAATATTTGGGTATCTTGGTCGACTTGCATCTGTCTTTTAAGCTCCATGTGGAAAACTTGGTAAAGAAACTGAAAGTTAAACTGGGTTTCTTTTTCAGAAACAGATCCTGTCTAACTCTGAATGTTAGGAAACACCTTGTATCTGTGACTTTCCTTTCCTCCATTGATTACGGTGACATTATTTACATGATCGCTCCTACAAGAACCTGCAGATGTTGGATGCTGTCTATCATGGTGCACTAAGATTCATAACTGGGTATAACTACCGTACCCACCACTGCACCCAGTATTCACTGGTTAACTGGTCACCATTAACTTCACACAGACTCTCCCACTGGTACATTTTCATCTTTAAATCACTTCTTGGTCTGCTGCCTTCATACATCTCCTCCTACAGTGGGGAGAACAAGTATTTGATACACTGTTGATTTTTCAGGTTTTCCCACTTGCAAAGCTTGTAGATGACTGTAATTTTTATCATAGGTACTCTTCAACTGTGAATGATGGAATCTAAAACAAAAATTCAGAAAAATACAATGTATGATTTTTAATTAATTAATTCCCATTTTATTGTGTGAAATAAGTATTTGATACACCAGAAAAATGAAACTTAATATTTGGTACAGAAACCTTTGTTTGCAATTACAGAGATCAGACGTTTCCTGTAGTTCTTGACCAGGTTTGCACACACTGCAGCAGGGATTTTGGCCCACTCCTCCATACAGATCTCCTCCAGAGCCTTCAGGTTTCGGGGCTGTCGCTGGGCCACACGGACTTTTAGCTCCCTCCAAAGATTTTCTATGGGATTCAGGTCTGGAGACTGGCTAGGCCACTCCAGGACCTTAAGATGTTTCCTACGGAGCCACTCTTTAGTTGCCCTGGCTGTGTGTTTTGGGTCGTTATCATGCTGGAAGACCCAGCCACGACCCATCTTCAGTGCTCTTACTGAGGGAAGGAGGTTGTTGGCCAAAATCTCACGATACATGGCCCCATCCATCCTTCCCACAATATGGTGCAGTCGTCCTGTCCCCTTTGCAGAAAAGCATCCCCAAAGAATGATGTTTCCACCGCCATGCTTCACGGTTGGGATGGTGTTCTTAGGGTTGTACTCATCATTCTTCTTCCTCCAAACATGACGAGTGGAGTTTAAACCAAAAAGTTCTATTTTTGTCTCATCAGACCACATGACCTTCTCCCATTCCTCCTCTGGATCATTCAGATGGTCATTTGCAAACTTCAGACGGGCTTTGACATGCGTTGGCTTGAGGAAGGGCACCTTGCGTGCACTGCAGGATTTTACTCCTTGACGGCGTAGAGTGTTACTGATTGTTTTCTTTGAGACTGTGGTCCCAGCTCTATTCAGGTCATTGACCAGGTCCTGCCGTGTAGTTCTGGGCTCATTCCTCACCTTCCTCAAGATCAATGATGCTCCACGAGGTGAGATCTTGCATGGCGCCCCAGACCGAGGGAGATTTTCCGTTATTTTGTATTTCTTCCATTTTCTAATAATTGCACCAACTGTTGTTGCCTTCTCACCAAGCTGCTTGCCTATTGTCCTGTAGCCCATCCCAGCCTTGTGCAGGTCTACAATTGTATCCCTGATGTCCTTACACAGCTCTCTGGTCTTGGGCATTGTGGAGATGCTGGAGTCTGATTGATTGAGTGTGTGGACAGGTATCTTTTATACAGGTCATGAGTCCAAACAGGTGCAGTTAATACAAGTAATGGGTGGAGAACAGGAGGGCTTCTTAAAGAAGAACTAACATGTCTGTGAGAGCCAAAATTCTTACTGGTTGATAGATGATCAAATACTTATTTCACACAATAAAATGGAAATTAATTATTTAAAAATCATACATTGTATTTTTCTGGATTTTTGTTTTAGATTCCATCATTCACAGTTGAAGAGTACCTATGATAAAAATTACAATCATCTACAAGCTTTGCAAGTGGGAAAACCTGAAAAATCAACAGTGTATCAAATACTTGTTCTCCCCACTGTACGTCTCTGTGTGAGTGCAGCTACAGCGTGCGCTCTCAGGACATCATTACCTGCAGTGTTCCCTCAGTGAGGACTGAACTAGGCAAAAGGACCTTCTCCTACGCCGCTCCTGTTTCCTGGAATATCTTGTAAAAAGATCTGAAACTCTCGACCTTTGACCTCTCTAAGTGGCTTCAAAAATCTGTTCAGTTCCTGCAGATGTTCCTTTTTTGAGTTTTCTAAGTTCACCTTAGGCCGTTTTCACACCTGATAGTCTGGTAGACTCGGTTCGGGACCAATATTCATGAGCTTTTGTTACATTTGAGCTGGTGCGTTTGCATTCACACTGCACTGTGCAGTCGAGCCAACCTGTTGAACCAACCTGTTCCCCCGCTCGCCTGTGGGGGCGCTGCACCAAGAACTACTGAAAGAAACGACACAAAAACCTCTGGACACGTCTTCTTCTGTAAATAAAAATAAAAACCAAGTGGCATCAAGTTTTAGGAGTTATATTTTGTCATTTTTCAAAAATGGACTTAGCATGAGCAGAAGATGAGACAGAAGACCATGGAGAATGTTGTTTTCCACACAAGGCAGCTGACGGCTCCATATAAGAGAAATGTGTGTTTGTTTGTCCTGAGGAGCGGGTCCGGTCTGATTACATTCACACTGTACTCGAACCGCGCTGGAGTTCTCTTCTACCGGACCGAGACCTAGGTTTTAGCCCGGGCCAGAGTTTGCCTTTTTGTTCCGTGACAGAGTTCGATGGAGAGTTCACACCTCCCCAAACAAACCAGACTTTCAAGGAAAACGAGCTAGAGTTGGATTAAAGCGACTAAACAGGGCTGGTGTGAATGCACCCTTAGAATCTAACTGTTTTTGTTACTTTTTTTGCCATCTTATTTTATTTGTAAAAAACTAAAATCTGTATGCCTTTTGAATGAATTCTAAGACAGTGGTGAGAATAGCTATGTTGAGTGTACTGACCATCCATCCATCCATCCATCCATCCACACACACACAAAAAAATAAACTACTACTTACTACTTGTACTACTATTTCTACTTTGTGGTTTTTCACTTGTCATGGGGCTTCAGGGTACAGATCCCCTGCAATAAATGAGGGACTACTGTATACAAATGCAGTTAAAGAGGACATGGATGTAATTGGAGTGAGGATAGAGGACACAGGACAGGAGGGCTCACTGTGGAGACCCCTGATGAGGGATAAGCAGAAAGAAAAGAATGAAGACTCTAAAATGTTGCAATTATTCCTGAAAATACTTGAGACACTACATGAATAACAAGAGAAGCACGAACCAATCAGAACGCTTTCTGCAGCGTGATGATGGTGTAGCATTACAAAACCCAACAGTCTGCAGTCTGGAGAAGGTGTACCTTGATGGCGAGCTCTGCACGTCCACACTCGTATGCTTTAGCAGCGATGTGAGAGTACGAAACTCCAGGTGAGTCTCCCACTTTGGCACACACGGCTCGAGCTATGGCCTCATCTGACAGGTCCTTCTGCTGCACCTGAACACGCCACAGTCACATGACATGACATGTAAAACATGCTGAAAGGCCTCAGGTGAGACAGGTTACCTTGCAGGAGGCCCAGTGCTTCAGGACTCTGCTGACGCCCTGATAATCAGGAATCTTCAGGTATCGACAAATTTCAATAGCTAACGGATAAAACTGTCGATACACCAACCTGAAAGAGACAGACAGGTGAGCACACAAGTACAGAGACTCAGGTGAGTGATGGGAACAGAGAATGATGGGACAATCTGAGTCACCTATCAATCAGCACCTGTACGGTCATCTGCTTGAATCTGACGTAAGGAGTCAAGGAACCCGACACCATGGAAACACCCTGCACGGGTCTTGTAAGAACCAACACTGGAAACTACTGTCCCACAAGGCAGCTGTGAAGGACTAAAGGATACTGAGTATGCGTGAGCGGCATTCCCACACTGCTCTCTCTGACAGCATTCAGCACCCGTAGCTCCCTGCAGGTCGTCACAAAATGATCGGGACTGAAGTCCGTCAGGAAACACTTCCCAAAAGATGCTGCCTGGTAGAAAAGAAATGGAAGTACATGACTCATGGTGAGGCCGCCTGTTACCAAGGTGCATGAGCATGACAACATAACCTGATCTCTAAGTTCAGGAACTCACTCTCATCAGAGCCTTCTGGATATCGGTGTCATACTCGTGACCTGCTGCTTCCACACACTGGTGGACGGCATCTCCCAGCACATTCTGCTCCTTGATCTCTCTCAGGTACTCATCAGCCTTCTGACTGGACTTCTATAGGAACAGAAACCAGACATCAGTCCTGTGAACGCCTGAAGCATCAGAAACGGTGGTTCGCCATCAGCAGAGGTGTACCTCGTACTCACGGTGGGCCTCCAACAGCAGAGCTCCTGGAGCCATAGAAGCAATCTTGAAGATGTCCTGACAGACCAGGGGAACCTCCTGCAGCAGCTCCTGAGTGGTTGAACTGATGATCCGAACTCCATCCATTTCTCCCACTAACACAGACTGGTTCTCAATGGGGAACCTAAGGTCAGGGTCAAGGTGCTAACTTCATCTAGAAAGAGATCATTTGAAAAGTCACCTGGAAGATCAGACCAGAGCAACAAGTCTGTTACTGGTTCCAGTCTGAAAGGGTTTCAAGGATACTGGATAGTGTCGTTACACACTCCAACCACAAGGAGCAGTCTATCCCACAACAGGACCACAGAGGGATGCTGGCTCTTCGGTCTGCGGCACCTGAACAGGCACACATGGTAAATAATAACAATAACAACAATGTGTTGTGTTGTCACCATTGTATGTTCCCATATAATGGCGAAATTGGCTCTCTGCATTTAACCCATCCACCACCAGGTGGAGCAGTGGGCAGCTTTTGAAGGTACCCGGGGAGCAACTGGGGATAAGGTGTCCTGCTCAGAGACACCACGAGATGTGCAATGACTAGGGATCGAACCTGGAACTTTCAGGTCCCAAGTCGGCTGCCCTGCCTCTACCCCAGCTTGGCCCCCCACAAATGGACTGCACTTACAGGACTTTTCCATCTTATCAAGATACCCAAAGCACTTTATTCACCCATTCATACAGCACTCTACGAGATCTCTACAAAGCTATTTTGAATCTGTAATCAGTGCTTTGATCACATTTATTCAATCAACGTTTATTTAAACAGGTTAGTCCCAATGAGCCTTGAGGACTTCATACACCAATGGGACACACATCAGAGGCAGTGAGGGGTTCAGTGTCTTGCTCAGGGACACTTCAACATGTGACTGCTGGTGGAATCGAACCCCACAAATGTCAGATCAAAGAATGGGTGAAGGTCAAGTAACAAGGTCAAAAGACAGATTAAAGGTCAGGTAAGCAGGACACTGTACAGGTAAAAAGCCAGGAAACATACATACCAGACCACCTGTTTGGGAGCTTCTGTCTGATTTGTGTCAACTTCACTCAGTTTGTCCTGCAGACAGAACAACCTGTCACTCATTCCCACTGAGAAAGCCCCGCCCACTTTGAAAGGGACAAGAAGATAGCTACTGCTCACCTGTAGGTTGGAGGAGCCGGTCCACAGGTGTCCAGTGTCTGTGAAGACAGCCAGGTATTTGTAGCTGAAAGAAACAGACATGTGGACGATGCTGCCAGCCTGGCTAAGATCTGGAGGACACTGAAGACATACGGACACATGTTAGACAGGTACCTAAACTGACCCCACCTGGTCAACCGTCTGTCAATGTGTCTGCCTCACCACTGCTGTGCAGGAGGTATTATCCAGGACATAGAGTTCCGGTCCAATGGACAACAGAACTTTAGTCTGTCTGTCCTGAGTGAGGACAACCCAACTGGCTGGCTTCCCCTGTAGACCTAAAGGGACAGAGTGAAATGAAGGACAGGTCAAAGACAGGTAAGTTCCAGGGGCAGGTGCATGTCAGAAACAAGTGAGGGACAGGTCTTCTTGTCTTCTGAGGTTAACAGAACAATGGAGACATCTTTACCTGGAACTTCAGGCAACCTACGAAGCTTCAGGTCTTCAATGTTGGTTGCCAAGGTGAAGCGGGAGGAGCCTGTTACTATGGCAATACCTGTTCCATAAGGAGAGTGGAACACCTTTGCCTCCAACACTTGACTCTGGACCACTTCCTGTTCAAAACAACAGTCAGTTATCTAGTTAGACCTGTTCCATACTGAACTACTAATCTAGAAAAACTCACCTGTCCCCCACAGAACTAGTCAAAAGACTCACCTGTCCCATGCTGAAGTGTCTCTTGAAGGATCCAAACAGGTCATAGATCAGAACTGTTCCATCCTCCTGAATACACAACAGCTCATCACTGACAGACCAGCCCAGGTGGACCACCGGTCCGCTCTTCCACTGAGAGGCACAGGTGAGACAGGTGAGTTTAAAAGAGTCAAGCAGCGTATGAGCAAAGCTGAAGTATGATTGGCTGTTGAGGACCTCAGGTGTGTTTGATTACATACAGGGAAGCTGGCGATGGCAACTCCTGACGCAGAATATATCTCTAACTGAGGGCGAGAACTGGGAGAGCGTCTGTGTGGCTCTCTGAGCAGAGCTGAGACAGAAACATGTCTTCATGTTTACAACCAACAGCTGTGTGTGTAAATAAAGAAGAAGAAGGTTGCACGCACCGACCGGTCCTCCGTACGGAGCTGCAGCCACCAGACTGTCTTTGAGCCCATCTCTAATGTTCCAACGCATCTCGTACAGCTCAGTTTTCCTGTTCAGAGATGACGGGTTATAAACACAACATAATAAACCGTAAAATGCTACAGCCAACACTAACTCAACTAAATCAGTGTCGTAAAGACAACAAAACAGTTGTTAATCCTTTTCTGAAGAATCCTGCAGTCTGTGGTGGCCACAGATGAGGAGCTGCAGAACTGGGGGCTCGGTCCCCCATGGCGGTGGGCTTTTGTTAGATATTTATCTTGACTGGTCCTGGGGTTTTTGATCTGCTCCGAACCGGGTCACAATTTCATTGAGCAGATCAAAAACCCCAGGACCAGTCAAGATAAACATCTACCACTTTCTTCAGGCCTCTGAAGCTGGGATGAGGGGGCATCACCAAGACCATGGTCTATCACAAACCTGAAACTGGATTCTGACAGGAAGCCAGAGAAGAGCCAGCAGGACTACCCACGTTTTGAGCTTTAGTCTGGAACTTCTCAAAGGTTTTTATTGAAGTTGCAACAGTCCAGCCTTGAAGAAAACTCGGCCATTAACGGAACAAACAGCTGTTTTCCTGCGCACGTGACGCTCGTCTTCTTCCCCACCAGACTCCATTCACATTCAGTCATTTTAATGGTTCCGAATGTGAACTTTACACCTGGCTGGACAATATCTCTTCTTCTCATTCTTTCCTCATTACAACATTTGACATTGGGCGCGATGACCAGCTGTTAAAATGCAACAAAGCTACTGCCGGAAGTCACGTGACTTGTTTAGCTGAAAGAAAACACTGCCTGAAACACGACGGTACTAGCTGCATTACACTCTTTTTAAGTTTTACCTGACATTAACCTGCCGTCCGGTGCTCAAAGCTACGTGCACACCGGTCAGCTGACAGCTCGTGCTAGCCGTGAACTCACCGGTAGAAGGCATCTCCCAGCGGGTTCCAGTTGGCGGTGATGAAGGCCATGCTGCCAGGTCCTTCCGGACCGAGACGGTTACGGAGCTCACTTTAAGATGACGGTTCTGACCCTGACTTTATTCAATGTTCTAGGTTCTGACCCTGACTTTAATCAATGTTCTACCTGCTGGAACGAGGAGTTGCGCATCAGTCACCTGACTTCCTTCTTCTTCTGGGGTGTTTTGGTGTGGGCGGTGGGCAGCCAGCCCACAGAGCAGAGCGCCACCTGCTGGTGCGGAGGTCAATCCCATTGTTAGTACATTTATCTAGACTGACCCTGGGATTAGAATGACATTATGACCCGGTTCTGACTGGTTTAAACGGGGCCAGCAACTCTAAAAAGAGTCTCCCAGGGATTCAATATCCGTAAAGGAATAGTTTATTTTGCTTGCTGCATCACACAGAAAAGGCTTTGAAGCACTTGTCATACACTGTTGTGCTCCCCGTCTGCGAAGGAGGACTCTAGGCACGATACATTTTTAATACCATGGGACATCCGACCCTTCCGGTTCCTGATCTCGCGTCGTGTACCGGAACCAGCCAGCGCTGTAAACTGGAACGTCCCTGCCTTGATTTAGTACAATTGGTAAAACTGAATTCACGTTTCCTTGACTTATTAGTAGTGTGAGTTGCCGCTTCTGAGGGAGGTCCGAGCCGGGGGGAGCGTGAGCTGGAGGCGGATCTGGGTCCGAGAGGAGGCCTGAGGCCCAAGACTAGCCGCAGCCAGCTGCAGTGACCCGCATCCAACTCATGTTGTAACTAGGGCATTAACAGAGTAATCGAGTAATCTACACATCGATTGCTAGGATCTATCGAGGTTAGAAATGTTACGTCGGGTACCCGTAGTGATGTCATATTATGTGACCACCGTATGACCGTAGGGGGCGGAGTTGCACTGTTGCAGGTCACAGAGTATGGTGTAACACCGGGTCCAATCCACCGAACCAGAACCAGTTTCGGTTTTAGTTTTTGACGTGCCGCACGTTTCTTCCCGTTTGCAGTTTAATAATAAAAACTAATAGTTTAGTTTTTCCTGTGACTTATTTGCAGTATGATAAATGGTAGGAGCATAATATACGCTCCCGATGTTTTGTTGGTCTTTTTTTTGTAAATAATTACCTTTTTTTGCGTTTTTATTTATTTATTTATTTTTGTATCTTGAGATCTATGACGTCATCAAATACTCGAGTTCTACTCGGGTTTTTTTATGTTAATGTCGAGTTTAAAAATTATATACTCGTTCAACCCCTAGTTGCAACACCACTGAGCCTCTGGGACTCATTTACAAGAGAGACCTGATTTTAACAAAGAGTGATGACAACAATGAATAACGACGACAATAACAATCATAATGGATGCGTACAAAATTTTTCTTAACAAGTGAAAAAAAAAGTAATTAAAAGGAAAAGTAACAAAAAACAGCTATATTATAAAGTGGCGTAGAAAACTAAAAACAGGAACATCTGCAGGAGCTTATCAGATGTTTGAAGCCACTTAGAGAGGTCAAAGGTCGAGAGCTTCAGATCTTTTTACAAGATATTCCAGGAAACAGGAGCGGAGTAGGAGAAGGTCCTTTTGTCTAGTTCAGTCCTCACTGAGGGAACACTGCAGGTAATGATGTCCTGAGAGCGCACGCTGTAGCTGCACTCACACAGAGACATGTAGGAGGAGATGTATGAAGGCAGCAGACCAGGAAGTGATTTAAAGATGAAAATGTACCAGTGAGAGAGTCTGTGTGAAGTTAATGGTGACCAGTTAACCAGTGAATACTGGGTGCAGTGGTGGGTACGGTAGTTACAGCCAGTTATGAATCTTAGTGCACCATGATAGACAGCATCCAACATCTGCAGCATCCAACATCTGCAGGGTTCTTGTATCCAATCCAACTTTATTTATAAAGCACTTTAAAAACACCCATACAGGACCAAAGTGATGTACAGACAAGTTAAAAAACACACAACAAAATAAAATACAAGAAAAAAATAATTAAAAAGACAAACAACTATGCAATAAAAAATGAAAGAGTAAAAGGAGTATCACATAAATAACAATAATAAAATCAACATCTCACATGGTGTCAAAAGCCTTGGAATAAAGATAAGTTTTAAGATGGGATTTAAAAACAGGCAGCGAGGAGCCTGTCTGATGTGGAGACGCAGACCGTTCCATAGTTTACGAGCTGCTACAGCGAAGGCACGGTCACTTCTAAGCTTGATCTTTGTTTTGGGCATACTCAAGAGCAGCTGATCAGCTGACCTGAGAGCACGTGAGGGGGTATAAGGCTGTAGCAGCTCGGAGAGGTCGGGTGGGGCGAGACCACTGAGAGATTTAAAAGTAATTAAAGCTGCAAGCAGAATTGAAGGCCCTCCCATCAAAGTGCCACTCCGGCCTTACGGCGACTGTGGGAGCTCCAGCAACTCCACCCAGTCATCACTGCGAACGCTCTCATGCCTGTCGCGCACTTGTTCACCATGCTGTGCATTTGCTGAACCTTCGACATCACCTGTGACAGCAGGAGCTCCAGCAATGCCTCCCAGTCGCCATCGTGAACGCTCTTATGCCATTCCCGCATGCGTCCACTAGGGTGTGCATATGCCAAATCTTTGAAATCACCTTCTGCCCACATCAGTATGAGTCCAGCTGCAAGCTTTACAAGTTTGGCTAAAATCCGACCTTCCAGACAGGAGTTACTGTCACTTCCTGTTTTCTAGCAAATGTAAAAGATTTCCTTTAAGCTTTTCAACATGTCATATGTGGTAATCAGCAGTTAGCAAATACGGTTTTAGTCTTATATCTTACACAGTGCCAAGCTGGAAGAGACACCCAATAATCATCAGTTTCTTCTTTAAGTGGGCTGGGCTTAAGTCAAGTCATGAATCAACAATACCAATGTGTCTGATGAAGCATAAAAAAAATCTGGTGTAGATCAGATGATGTATCACTGAGATATAACTCTTGGAATAATGTCGGGGACGCACTGGAGTCGTTTCGTTTTTCATGGCGAGATGTCAAACTTTGAGGTCTGGCCCCGCCCCTTCAGCATGCTCCGAAATGAACCGTTTAGGTAACTTTGCGTCCCCTATGCCTTTTGACCAAAATGGCCAAGTTTGAAACCGATTGAGCGAAATCCCTAGGAGGAGTTTGTTCAAATGCGGAGGCTGTAAACCGCCAAAAAGGTGTGAAAATTGGCCGGCATTCCAAAATGGCCGCCTTCCTGTTTATCGTACAACGTTGTTGCCAGAGGGTTTTCTGTGTATCTTGGGGAATTGGACAAGCGTACCAAATTTCATGTTTCTATGCCAAACTAAGGTCAATGCGGAGGGTATTTTTTAAATTTCCAGGTGGCACTCAATCTATTTCTGTTGCAATTTTTACCACGCCCTTAAAATACGTAATTTTTCCACCAGTCCTGATGTGTCCACCAAATTTGATGTCTTTTGGGATATGTTAAAGCCCCCAAAATGCCAATTTATTTGGCGGAAAAAATTGCAGCTCGGGCCTGAACAGAGCGATTACAATAGGCCTTCGCAGCACTTCGCTGCTCGGGTCAAAATAAAAGAATCTTAAAACTGATCCTAAAATGTATGGGCAACCAGTGAAGTGAGGCTAAAATGGGTACGAGCGTTCATGTAAATAATGTCACCGCAATCAATGGATGGAAGGAAAGTCACAGTTACAAGGTGTTTCCTAACATTCAGGGTTAGACAGGATCTGTTGCTGAAAAAGAAACCCAGTTTAACTTTTAGTTTCTTTACTAGGTTTTCTGCGTGGAGCTTAAAAGAGAGATGTGAATTAACTAAGATACCCAAATCAACTAACTCAATAAGGGCACCATTCAGCACCTGGAGATCTGCAGTGGAAGTGGTCTCCAGCTACAAGTACTTGGGTGTGCACCTGAACAACAACCTCAGCTGGAGCAACAACACCACCAGCCTGATGAAGAAAGCTCATCAGAGACTCTACTTCCTCAGGCGGCTGAGGCGAGCTGGTCTGGAAGCTCAGTCCTCACCTCCTTCTACAGGTGTGCAGTGGAGAGCATCCTGTGCTCGAGCATCAACGTGTGGCATGGAGGCTGCACAGCTGCAGAAAGAAAAGCTTTGCAGAGAGTGGTGAAGGCTGCACAGAAGATGTTGGAGTCAGTCTCCCCACCATCACAGACATCTACACCTCCAGATGCAGGAAGAGGGCCACCTGCATCATGAAGGACCACACTCACCCAGCACACACACTTTTTGTCCCCCTCCCCTCAGGAAGGAGGTTAAGGAGCATTAAGTGTAGAACCACTAGACTGAGGAACAGCTTCTACCCTGAGGCTGTTAGACTCATGAATCTCTAACTAGAAGAATCACTGTGAAAAAAATCACCATAATGCCACTTTGATTCTTGATATGTGCTGCTGACTATCAATGCTGCTGATCTCATGCTGCTGATTATTTCATGCTGATGTGTTCATTCGTCCTCATCTCCTCACACAGACTCATGTTCGTGCTGCTGTTGTTCGACGTGTTGTTTTTATACTATTAGTGTATTTTTAGTTTAATGTTTTTCTTAGTTCATATCTTAGATGTTATTACTGTTTTTCTTTTACATTTTATTGTTGGATGTAACTGGGACCCCGTGTACATAATCTCGTTCCACCACATGTACCACATGAGGTGCGAATGATAAATAAACTTTGACTTTGTATTCAATACCGTCCCATTTCTGTTAGATTAATGTAACTGTAATAATAATAATAATAATAATAATAAACTCTAATAATTCGTCATAATGCGCTGTTTTGTTAGTGTGAATGTTGTTTTATAAAATGTGTAATTTTCTTCTTTTCCTGAACTTCACTGAAAATCTAAAGGCGTCTTTTGAGCCTGGCTCCAGACAGAACCATGAACAGAACCTTTAAAGGTCCGGTAGAACCGGGTCTTTCCACCCGAACACAAACACAGGAAGCGGAACAGGCTTCCTCCCAGATGACTTCATCTGAAAATCGTGTTGCCGTGGTAACAGGCCACGCCCCCACGGAGTGGTAAACAGGCTGCAGGAGCAGGAAGTTAACCCTTTCATTTTGTTGCACTTCAGGTTCTCTGCTCTTCATTTGATTCATGTGGATTTATTCTTACTTTGTGTTAGTAGATGTTTAACTTTTTAATTCTATACTTTATTTTTAAACCTTTTTACATTAAGTGCTTAACCTTTTTTAAACTGATGTTTTTGATTTTCAAACAGCTGTGTGTGTTTCATGTGTTTCATGTGTTTCATGTGTTTCATGTGAATGTCAGTAAAGTTGTTTTCGACAGTAAATCTTCCTTCCGTCACTTTTCAGCAGTGAAGGAGTTAAAGGTGTGGACGGGAAGTTGTTGGAAAGTTTTCCCTCTCTCACACTCACACACACACACACACACACTCAAAGGAAGGCGAGGCACAGACCTGGAGGCTTTTGTTGCTGCACTTTTGAGAAGTTTTGAGACTTTTTTTCTTTGACGTCGATATGGTGACTACTGAACCCCACCAGAGCCAGGACCTGATGGTCCCCCATGAGAACCAGAACCAGGAGGAGCAGGCCTCGCCCTCCTCTGCGGTCTTCGACCTGGAGAAGTTCAGTCAGGGTCCGGTCAACGCCATCACCGTCCTGACTCTGCTCGATAAACTGGTCAACATGCTGGACGCCGTGCAGGAGAACCAGCACAAGATGGAGGTGAGGTGGTCTCCATGGTCCCACCTGGAGAACATCTGGTGTAGGTTTTTGTTAGGTTTAATGTGTTCGCCCAGCTGTGACCACAGCAGCTGGAGGAGATCCACATGTTGATCAGCTTTCAGAGAATGCACAGGTCATCATTGGACCCTGACAGGTTCTGACTGTGATCCAGAACCTGTCAGAGCGGTTGTGATTCCGTCAACCCATCAGAACCTGTCAGAACGGGTTGTGGTTCTGTCAACCATCATCAATAATAACCTAGTACATCAGGTTATTGCTAATCAATAGCCTACAATTTAAAATCATGTTCATATGAAAATATTCAGATTTGAAACTTTCTGCTGCTGATTGGACTGGTCTTGGACTGGTCAGGATCCAGTGTCTAATTGGTTATTGATCAGTAATTCGCTGGTTTCAGCTGCACCAGGTGGAGATGGAGGGCGTGGTCAAAGGTATCCAGGCAGATATGACCAAACTGGCTAAGAGTCACACTCACACCTCCAACACCGTCAGCAAGCTGCTGGACAAGAGCCGCAAGCTGTCTGTCACCATGAAGGAGGTCAGTGAACACATCGCACCTGTCACAGCAGTCAGTAAACCCACCGTCCTAAAGACCTGTGGTGGTCACGTTTCAGGTTCGTGAAAGAATGGAGCGCCAGGGTGCTCAGGTGAAGAAGCTGGAGGCCAACCATGCCCACCTGATCAGCAGAAACAACTTCAAAGTGCTCATCTTCCAGGTGAGTGACAGAGGTAGGCCAGTACACCTGCATGGCATGCTGGGAAATGTCTGCCCTCCTACAGAGATGTGGTCAGGTGACCTGCTTCGCCTTTTTCTGATCTTCAGTAGGTTCTTTTATTCGGTTGTTTGATCCTTCTGAAAGTGACCTGGGAATATATGGAAAGTGAGTAATCCTGAGGTTTGGTTGCCATAGTAACCAAGTGACTGTCACAGGATCCAGAGTGTAGGACATGTACTACAAAATTACAGCTGAGTTTGTGTGAGGACCACTTTCTTGTTTCTGTCTATTCTCATCAGCATTAAACGTTCCCATCCTCCCCAAATACCCAGCATTCCTCAGTCCATGTGTCAGTTAGGGTGGGGTCCTCCGTCAGCTCTGTCTGTTTACTCCCTGCACCATCAGCTGGTCAAACATGAATTTAATACCTACACCCCTGCAGGAATGTTAGCTTCCAACCTAACGCCACACAGGTTATAATCAATTGATCAGCCAATCAATCGACCAACCAGTCGATCAGTGACTTCCTCAAGTCAAGTCAGATTTATTTATAAAGGACATTTAAAATAGAAACTGTTACCAAAGTGCCTAACAAAAAGATCACAGCATTAAATGAAAAGTAACAAGATATAATTACAGCACATGGAATAAAAATATAAAACACAAAACATAATTAGAAACAATAGTTCTGGTTACGACCAAGATCAGAATCAGCTTTATTATCACTGCACCGAGATACAACGAGAATATGTCCGTAGAGTCGTCCAAAAGATGGGCGGAGTGCACGTAGCTGCTGCTATACAGCGCGGCCTTCTTATCCTTTTCAGAATACATTTTTTAAATAGATGAGATGGCAGCATAGGACAAGTGCTTCTCCAAAAAGATCATTAAACCTTCCCCGCCGGATACTGAAGCCACGCATAGATCTTATAACAAGACAACAAACGCGGGACAAGATGGAAACGCGAGAGAGAAGCAAGAAGTATATTCCAGACACGACTGACGGAGTTCACGAACCGCAGCTCAGAGACAGCCATGCCAACACAAGAGAAGGGCCAGGAAGACCAAAAGGTAACGAAAAACCCAAGGTTAACCTAGAAATAATTCTTCAAGAAATACAAGAGTTCAGACATGAGAATAAGCAACATCTAGATGTCATTAGAGAATTTATTAACAAAACAAAACAAAGAATTGAAGAAGACGAAAACCATAGCGTGGCAGCGGAAGCTAAGCTAGACACGATCGAGCTAATTGTGAGAAACATACTAAAAGCACAGATTCAAAACAAAGAAACTGGTCGACCAAAAAGCAAGGACAAGGAGGAAGAATATGCGGATTTTCAATGTACTGGAGAATGAAGAACAAGACAAATCAGTGAATGAATATGTTGAAAAAAATCCTCAGAGGAAAACTGGAAATTCCTGATTCTCACAAACTCAGCATAGAAAGAGCACACAGAGCCCTTGCACTGAAACCAATGGGAGCAGCAAAACCCAGATCGATTGTAGTCCAGTTCCTTCAGTACTGAACAAAAGAGGAAATACTGAGAAAGGCATGGCAGAAGAAAGAAATTACATAAACACCCAAAGGATATACTTCGACCACGACTGCCCTACCGCAATTCTAAACTGCCTCAAAGAATACACTGAAGCAAAATGGGTGCTAAGGGAGAAGAGGCTCCAATTCCAGACCCCATACATAGCTTCCTATCTTTTATAAGGATGAAGCACACCTATTCCAAACTGCACATGAAGCAACAAAAGATATGCATGACCGAGGCTACACGGTACGGGTGATGCCACCACGAGAAGACCTGATGAAGCTACTGGATGCAGAGCCATGGCGCATCGCAGGGAGAAAAGAGACTATTCAACAGGAACAACTTACTGGACAAGCTACCACCATTTCCAGACTGCAGGCCTTTAGTAGACAGAGAAAATAACAATAACCTAATGACCTCTCGGTTTCCTCACAGTACAGCAATTTCTTGGAGGATCAGGACTGTCAAAAGGTATGGACACTTATTCTAGGTTGCCACAGAGGGCCCTTCCCCTATTACCATCTGAAAAGGACTTCTCTCCAAGTTTTGACCCCAACCCAGGTCAGGTAAAGGGCTTTCCACCTCTCCATTGGAACCCCAGATGTCATTATCAGATATGTTTTACATTTTTTTTCTCAAAGTTCTTGTGACAATTTAAGTTCAACCAGAGAGTTTGGTAGCAAAACAGTTAATTTCACAGTTCAAGTAAATGTTATCTGAAAGGTTAAAAGAGGCATCTTTCAATGTTAACGGCATATTAAACCCAATTAAACGAACAAAGATATTGACAAAGATGGAGAGAGAAAAGGTGGATATCATTTACCTACAAGAAACTCATATAAATTATATAGAACATCGAAAACGAACCAAACATGGATATACTAAATCATATTATTCATCATACAAAGAAAGACATAAAAGAGGTGTGGCAATATTGATATCAAGTAAAGTGATTTTTTAACCGAGTTTTGAACTCAAAGATAAAGACGGCCGATACATACTAATCAAAGGAAATATAAATGGAGACACATATACATTCCTCAACGTATATACTCCACCTGGAAGCGATGTCATATTTTTTACTAATATAATGGATTTGATTGTAAATAAATGAGAAGGAACACTTATCTGTGGGGGGCACTTCAATATACATCTTCAGCCACCTCAAGTCAGAAAGGTAAGAATAAAACTATTAGTAACAAGTTCAACAATCTATTACAGAACATAGGACTAATATATATTTAAAGAGAAATATACCCAAAGGCTAAGCAATATACCCACTTCTCCAACCCACATCTGATATTTACAAGACTGGATTTTTTTTTTCATCTTTAATAAGGATAGACCCAAAGTCATCGAAGCTGAGATAATACCAATTGATCTAAGTGACCATGCTTCAATATATTTGACAATGGATATGGATGAAAAACAAAGAAATACACAATGGAGACGTAATGTTAGCCTCCTTAATGATATACAAATTAAACAGAAACTGTCAGAAGAAATCTCAAGATATATTAAAGAGAATGATAATGGCGAAATCACTCCACCTATCCTTTGGGATGCACCCAAGGCAGTACTACGGGACAAAATTATATCATAGCATCAGTTAACAAAAAGACAAAGACAGAAACAAATTACAAGAGTTACAGGAAGGATTAAAATGACTCGAAAATAGACATGCCCAGAATAATATTACACAAATATTACAAGAGATTAGAAAGACAAGAAATGAAATTAATGACTTGACTACCCAGGGCAGCACGGTGGTGCAACTGGTAGAGCTTCTGCCTCTCAGCGAGCAGGTCCCTGGTTCAAACCCCGGTCCAGGGGCCTTTCTGGGTGGAGTTTGCATGTTCTCTCCGTGCATGCGTGGGTTTTCTCCGGGTACTCCAGTTTCCTCCCACAGACCAAAAACATGCATGTTAGGCTGATTGGTAACTCTAAATTGTCCCTAGGTGTGAGTGAGAGAGTGAATGGTTGTTTGTCTCGTTTGTCTCTATGTGTCCCTGTGATGGACTTGCAACCCGTCCAGGGTGTACCCCGCCCCTCGCACAGTGATTGCTGGACATGGGCACCAGCGACCCCCGTGACCCAAAATGGAAGAAGCGGGTAAAGATGATGGATGGATGGATGGACATGACTACCCAAGAAACAATGAAAAATATGCTTTTCACAAAACAAAGATATTGTGACAGTGGTGCAAATTTTTCTAAACTGGTGGAAACTTAGGAAACAACAAGCAGAGACAACCGCACTAATGCAATGGTTATCAGTGTAGATGCGAAAAGGGCTTCTGACTCGGTCAATTGGTTCTACCTATTCAAAGTGCTAAAGAAATTTCAAATAAGTGACGTAATAATAAATAACGTCAAAGAGATTTATAATAATCCAACATTTAAAATAAGGATAAACGGCTATTTAACAGACTTACACATGAGAGAGGAGTAAGACGGGGAGGTGCTTGGTCCCCCCCCCCCCCCACACACACACACACTTTGTGCCTTGTGTTTGGAACCATTGACCCAACATAAATGACAACCAAAAACAATCAAAGGTTTCACAATAAATAGAAAGGAACACAAAATTGCATGTTATGCAGACAACATCATTTTATTTCTGTTGGACCCAGAAAGCTCAGTACCAGAACTGATGCACAGTCTAGAAACAATAGGCTCAATATCTGGCAACAAATTAAATATTGAAAAAACAGAAGCTTTCTCCTACTGGCACCCACCCAAGGATTTTAAAAAGAACTATCCTCTAAAATGGAACACTTAAATATTTAGGAATAATACTTCATAAAGATGTAACTAAAATTATGGATAAAAATTATAATTACCTTTATTAAAATGTAAAAAAATAAGACCTTGAAACATGGAACCTTATCCATCTCTTAAGCTTAACAGCAAGAATAGAAATCATAAAGATGAACGTGATACCTAGATTTCTTTACTTTTTCCAAACTACCAATATCCATCCCAAATCACCATTTTATAGATTGGGACCAAACAATATCCAGATTTATATGGAAAGGAAAGAAACCTCGTATTCGTTCCAAAACACTACAGTTATCAAATGAGAAAGGTGGATGGGGCCTCCCTAGTCTCCAAAATTATTTTATCTCAGCTCAAATTCGAATGTTACTTTATTGGTGTGAACCAGAGTATGAAGCAAAGTTTCATTTCCTTGACTGATGAAACCTTCTGGATGGAAGGTGAAACGTTTCAACAAAAAAAAAAAGAAACCATCCAGATGGCCTGACTGAAAAATGTTGGATTGATTTTAGATAGTTTTATTAACAAGATTCATTGACCCAATCTATTGTTGATTTATAGTTCCATATAATTCCACACTTGTTATAATTTCACTCTCTGTTTTTTTTCAATAGATGTCTGCTTTCACTAACAAAAATCAAATAGAGACAGAAGAGTGTAATGTGTAAAGTCATACAGGCTGTGGAATGTGAACCTTTTTTTTATTTATCTCCGTCTGTTTCCATAGTCTTCATTATTTTACTTAAGTCATAACTACAACTCACTTGTGTACTTTGCCATAAGAAATGTAAATGTCACTATCAGAAAGAAAAAAATGAAACAGTAAATCAGATCACCTTGTGTCAAATGTCACAGAATAAAATAAAAAGCATAAACACAATCAGAATCAAAAAGAAACTAAATCTAAATCGGTTTACCATGTGTTAAAAGTCACTGAGTACAGATGTGTGTTCAGGAGAGATTTAAAAGCAGAGACTGAGGTGGCCTGTCGAATGTTGATGGGCAGATTATTCCAGGGCCCATGACTGAAAGCGCTCGATCTCCTCTGAGCTTCAGCATGGTTTTTGGTGCCACCTAAAACAGCTGGTCTGATGATCTCAAAGCCTGAGAAGGAGCATAAGGATGAAGAAGGTCGGAGAGGTATGAGGATGCAAGGCCGTTAATGCACTTAAACGTCAGCAGGAAAATCTTAAAATCAACTCTGACACGCACAGGAAGCCAGTGAAGGGAGGACAGAACTGGAGTAATGCGCTCAAACCTGCGAGTTCCTGTTAGTAGTCGAGCTGCAACATTTTGGACAAGCTGGACACGTGAGAGAGAAGATTGACTGACCCCAACATAAAGCGAGTTACAGTAGTCCAGCTGGGTTGTAACAAATGCATGGACTAATTTTTCAAGGTCGGATCTGGTCGGCATAGACTTAAGCTTAGCTATCTGCCTTAACTGGAAGAATATTTTTGTCAGAACAGTGTTGATCTGTTTATTAAACTTAAAATCAGATTTTAAAACTACCCCGAGATTGGTAACAGACTGTTTTAGATATGGCTGAAGGGAGTACAGGTTTACAGTGTTAGTGGCAGAGCTAGGGTTAAACACCATGACCTCAGTTTTCTGATCATTAAAACTTAAAAAGTTTGTAGCCATCCAAGTCTTTATGTCATCAAGATATTTTAGCAGAGGGTGAATGGACCAGGAACTGTTAGGTTTTAAGGGCAGATAAATCTGAGAATTGTCACCATAACAATGAAACAAAATACCATGTTTCTTCAAGACAGACCCCAAGGGGAGCAGATACAATGAAAACAGAAGGGGTCCAAGAATGGAGCCTTGTGGGACCCCACTGGAAGGCACAGAAGCAGATAAACGATTACTATAAGCCAAAAACTCCGTTCCAAACGCTTGGAAAAACAGCCTTTGTTCTTCCTTTGCTTAAGGGAGGAGACCCCCCCTCACTGAACAACTATCGACCAATCTCGAAACTCTGCATTTTATCCAAGGTTCTAGAAAAACTGATAAACTCTCAAATCAAAAAGTATCTGGACTCACTTAACACCTTGCCTCTCCATCAATCTGGTTTCAGGAAACAACACAGCACAACCACTGCTTCACTGAAGGTTCTTAATGACGTTGTTGAAGCACTGGATGCTAAGGATTATTGTGCTGCACTTTTCTTAGACCTGTCTAAAGATTTTGACACTGTGGATCAGAACATCTTGTGTCATAAACTCTCAGAAATCGGTTTCTCGGATCACACCATTGGTTGGTTCTCTATCTCACAGACCGGAGGCAATGTGTTCAACATAATGGTACTTCCTCCAGTTATTTAACAGTCAACAATGGTGTACCACAAGGCTCAGTTTTAGGATCCACCCCTCTTTACAATCTACATAGGTAATGTACGTCAGAGCATCCCTGATGCACCTTACATTTCTATGCTGATGACACAGTTGTTTATTGTCGAGCTAAAACAGTTGATAAGGTTTTCCAACGTTTGCAATCTCCTTTTGACATCATCCAGTCAGATTTGTTCCGTCTCAAACTTGTCTTAAATGCTGACAAAACCAAAAGGGATGCCGTTTTCAAACAGGAAATCGGTACCATCAGTTCTTCCTTCCATTTTACCCTCAAATGGTGTCCCAATTGAGTTTGATTCCTATAAATATTTGGGTATCTTGGTTGACTCGCATCTGTCTTTTAAGCTCCATGTGGAAAACTTGGTAAAGAAACTGAAAGTTAAACTGGGTTTCTTTTTCAGAAACAGATCCTGTCTAACTCTGAATGTTAGGAAACGCCTTGTATCTGTGACTTTCCTTTCCTCCATTGATTTTGGTGACATTATTTACATGAACGCTCCTACAAGAACCCTGCAGATGTTGGATGCTGCAGATGTTGGATGCTGTCTATTATGGTGCACTAAGATTCATAACTGGCTGTAACTACCGTACCCACCACTGCACCCAGTATGCACTGGTTAACTGGTCACCATTAACTTCACACAGACTCTCCCACTGGTACATTTTCATCTTTAAATCACTTCTTGGTCTGCTGCCTTCATACATCTCCTCCTACATGTCTCTGTGTGAGTGCAGCTACAGCGTGCGCTCTCAGGACATCATTACCTGCAGTGTTCCCTCAGTGAGGACTGAACTAGGCAAAAGGACCTTCTCCTACTCCGCTCCTGTTTCCTGGAATATCTTGTGAAAACATCTGAAGCTCTCGACCTTTGACCTCTCTAAGTGGCTTCAAACATCTGATAAGTTCCTGCAGATGTTCCTGTTTTTAGTTTTCTATGCCGGTTTACATTGTAGCCGTTTTTGTTTTGTTTTATAATATCATTTTATTTCGTTTATTCTTCTCAATTTGTATGCTTTATTATATGATTGTCTTCTGTTGTCGTTGTTGTTCACTGTTGTCATCACTTTTTGTTGAAATCAGGTCTCTCTTGTAAATGAGTCCTCGTGGCTCAATGGGATTAACCTGTAGAAATAAAGGTTGCGTGAATGAATTAAAAATACACAAAGAGCATTGAATTAAAATTAAATCACTTAGTTGTGGATAAAAATTAAAAATGGAAGAATTTCAGACAGTTTTCTAATGAACTTTTTGAGTCTAATTTTGTTTGACTTCAGATAATGTTTTATGGTTCTATAAACTTCTTGAGGTTCTCCTATTCTTTTTCTTCTTCTTTCTGCAACAGGAGGAAAATGAGATTCCCACCACTGTTTTTGTGAAGACTCCTCCTCCGTTCCCTCGGGATGACAATTTGGAGGAAGATGAGCCGCCTGCACCAGGTGTCAGTGACAGTAAACAAGAAGCCACCTTCAAGACCATTGACCTGTCTTCTGATGAAGACGTCGGCCTGGAAGCTGACTTGGAGGAAGAGGACATGTGGTCTCAAGATCTAGAAAATCTGGAACAGTCCAAAGCTGAGAAACTGAAGAGATCCAGCATGAAGAGGGTAAAAGCATCAACAGGTGAGCAGTTGTCCAGGTGTTCATCTGGTCACTAAGGTATAACTGTGTCTCTTTGCAGGTTGATAGTCTGAAGAAGGCGTTCTCCAAGCAGAACATTGAGAAAAAGATGACCAAGATTGGAACAAAGTTGGTTTCTGCAGAACAACGAGAGAAGATCAAGCAGAAAACAGCCAGCCTGAAGTTTGGCATAAGGAAGGTACAGAAGTGTCTGCTCAGAAATCAGGTTCTGATGTTGGATGAGACTGCTGATGATCTTCTGGGTTAAATGTTCTGCTTATGTTTTCAGCCTCGCAGCAGCTCAGACTCTCAGCCTCCAGAGGCCTCTGCTAAGACCGAGGACTCACCCACTACTGAGGCTGACATCCAGGTCTCCCCACCTGGCAGCATCGAGCAGGAGGTCCCTTTCACTGATGTTCATGCTGAGCTGGTCCCAGCTGAGCAGCAAGATGTGGTAAAGGAGGAGGAGGAGGAGAAGTTGGAGGAAATGAAAGATGAGACAAAGGAAGCTGTTATTGAGGGTTCAGTAGTAGTAGAGGCAGATATGTCGGTGGTCTCTGAGGAGGTCAATGAGGAGTATGCTCTGTCCTCCACACTCCCTCAGGAGGAGAGAGGAGCAGAGGAGAAACACGATGAATCCTAAACCCTTAAGAAATCCGACCAAGCAACGTCTTGACCTTTTAAAAAGGAGCCAATCAGCATTTTGATTAACCATTCCACTGAGTGTGGACCAGAATCAGAAAAAAAGCTCCTACAGGTTTACTCCGTTGTGCTAAATGTTATTTTAATGTTCCTTAGAGGTTCTTTGTGCATTTACTCAAGGGTTTCCATCAGTGTTTCCTTCAACGTTCCTCCAATGTTCTGTCAATGTTTTCTTCAGGGTTCCTGCTGTGTGTTGATAGTTTCTCTCAATGTTCCTCAATGTCCTCCTATGAGTTCTCTGCATGTTCCTCCAATGTTTTCCTCATTGAGCCAATAATGTAACTTGTTCCTCTAGAGATTGTCCAGAACAAAACTGTTTAAGAAACTAACACCCTGTATCCTGTTTTTATGACAAAATATAAGGTTAATGTTTGGAAAATCATCTTGTTCATGTCTCTGATCTGAAACCTGAATCCACGTGTTTTGGAACAGCACTCACAGCTGACTGGCCACAAGTACAGGAACCTCCCAAGTGACACAGAGCCACATGAACGCCTGAAAACCAAATGTTCCCTTCAGCAGACTATAACTTTTGTGCCATCTCACATGAGGTTGTCTTGAGATCTTAAACATCTCAGAGATGAAGAGACTAGTTCATTTTTAGGTTGCAAGAAGGTTCTGTACAGTACATTCAGCTGTTCCACTAAGGTTTATCTAATTTTTTGTTAGATTTGAATGTTTTTCCCAAATTTCCATTCAACGTCAAAATTTTCACATAAATTATCCTGAATGTTAAACAACTTGACAAAGTTTGATTTCATCCTCTGTTGATGTATGTAGGTCCAACATTCTCTAAGTTCTTGTGTGTCCCTTGATGCCATTTCATTCATACAAGTTTCCCCAGAAGTTCTAACATTTCAAAGGGTTCTGTTACCATCCATAGAATAGGTTAGTAGTTTTTGTGATGGATTCCATGAGATCCAACATTCCACTGCAGTTTCTTAAACATTCTCTGGATGTTCTTCTAATGCCCCACAGTTACAGAAATCCTCAAGCAGTCCCCTTTCATACCTAATGTTCTCTAATGCACATCTTAGTTCTCCGAGTATTCCCCTCATGTTCTACCTATGGTATCTTTTACTAGCATCCTAATATTTTAGACACACTCCCAAATTTTCCGTAGATTTTTCTGGAACAGTGTAACAATGTTCTCCTGAGTCAGAACCCGTTCTGCACCTCTTCAGTGGCTTCACTTTTCCCAGGACTTGTGTTCTGGTCACTTGTTTAGTCTTGATTGCTATGAAACAATCTTACAGATTTAAATTCATTCATCAGTCCATGAGTCTTGTAGTCTCAAGACTAACATCTTGTCTGTTGACCTGCCTGTTTGCCATTTAGTAACAGATCAAACTGATCAGCAGAACAGATTGATATATGTTTAAATCAGTTTCTTGATTGAAACTTTGCTGCCAAAGATTTTTTCCACAGTTGTATCCTGTTGATCCCCGTATAAGCAATAAAACTTGTGACAACATGTTCTTGTTCTGTGTTTCTGATTTTCAGGTTTTGTTTTGTTTTAACTGAGACACTTTTCTTCTGATTTGACTAGATTTTTTAAAGTGTTACAAATTTTAAATGAATGTTTCCAGTTAAAAAAAACTTTAAACCCTTAATGTTTGGGATGCAGTATGCTCAAATACCCTGAAGTTCTCACAGCTCAACTCTGACCCCTGGTGCATGTGGCTGAGAATTATCAATAATTACAAAAGCAGCAACACCAGTCCAACTAGCACAACCTCATTTTAAAAGAGGATTTAAACCTTTTGACTAGGACAGAACCCTCATCGCACCGAGTTGACCCTGGAGGAGACCCCCAACAAACACCTCTGCGCTAAGGCCTCATAAGGAGAGACTAACTCTTGCCCACAGGAAGGCTGGCAGACCTGCTGGCATTCCAGACTGAGTGCTGAAACACTGTCCAGTTTAACTGTTGTCTTTGTCATTTCATCCCTCTAAAAACAAAATGGCAGCACAATCTAGGTTTGTAAATCTTCATCTGAATAAGCCACAAGACAATGTCCTCTGGCCACAATAACCCAAAGAATAGAAGTTTGTCCAGAATTCACAGCTCCAACACATAAGCTGTGAGCACGGTGGTGGAGGGCTAATTGTTTGGGCTCCTTGCAGTCACTGAGTGGACTCTGTAGACCAAAGGGTCCTGGAGGTTAATGCGAGTCCATCCGTCCAACAGCTGAAGCTTGGACCAAACTGGATCCAACAGGACAATGATCTCAAACACAGCAGCCAATCTACAACAGAATAGGTAAAAATAAAATAAAAATAAAGAATCAAAGTACTGCAGGCATCAAAAGTCCAGAACCTCAACCTGACTGAAATGCTGTAGTGGGACATGCAGGGGGCTGATTAAAGTCCTACAGAAACCACTGCTGAGATCAGCTTCATTAACCCTACAACTGAAAACTTCTGGACTTCCTTTTCTCCAGGACTGTGAGATTCCTCTCCATTTGACCCTTGACCGAGAGGACAAATTGCTTGAGAGGGGTAGTGAAGGAGGCCATCTATGCAAAAAGAGAGAAACCTTCTTTAAATAGAGGAGGAGGTCTCAGATTTCAACTGTCAAAATCCTGTAATGCAGCTTTAGGCCTGATACCCAGTCAGTTTCACCCCAATCAAGACCTTCATTCATGTGACCAGAGTGACCCATCTGTGAGTCACACTAACAAAGACCATAATGAACCCCTATCCACCTTATTCTGCAAGAGCGTATGTGGGCTGCCATGACAGACAGGTACCGCCCCTTCCCGGTTTTATACTTCCGGTGAGCTAAAGCGAGAGGCACTTTTGCTAATGACAAATTCTAGTAATTTGTGCTGTAGCAGGAGGCTTAAACAATTCTAATATGAGTTCGGGTTCAACTTGTGCTGTTGTTGGCTGTCACAACAGCTCCAGAAAACTGAAAGACGAGCTAGAAACGTATTGTTTTGCACATCAACAACTTCGAAAGGCCTGTGTGTGCCCAGCGCGTTACGAACTGCACTCCATGCCGAGGAAGGAGGATCGAAAACGAGCGTGGCTGGCAGCTTTAAAACTCAAATACCCCCCGAAGAGAGTTTATGTTTGCTCCTTTCATTTTATTGATAAAAAGCCCACAGAGCTTCACCCCGACCCGGAGCTCTATCTGGGCTATGACCGGGCCCCACCAAAGAAAAGAAGGCAGCTCATCCGGACCACTGTGAGCCAGACAGCTTCCAGCAACATCGACAAAACGGCCCAATCTGTTCCCGGTGAGTGGAATTGAAAATGTGATTTGTCCCCGCTTCACATTTTAATCATGCTTAGCTCTTATCTTTTACTGAATTATATTATTATTAATGTTATAATTGTAATGTTATAATTACTATACTGTGGATGGTGTTAGCATCAGCGCTAGCTGGTTGCAGTGTTATTGTGGATGTTAGTGTATTATTAATTTAATTCCAAAATACTTTAACACTAAGAGAAAGTACTTGATTGGCAGCCAAATCCAAATCTTAAAGACAAAGTGGTTAGTAATTAACATCAGTAGCATGCTAGCAGAGATGTATATGATTTCATGTAACTGTCCGAGAATAGCTTTTTATTTAGCAACCTGGTAAAATTCAGCCCCCAGGGCTGTAAAAGTCTGGGGATTTTGTTAATAAAGAATATGTTGAGTTATTAGAGGCAGGTTATTTGAAACAGACACAGCTGAAAAAAAAACTTCTTTTAAACTCTTTAAAGAAAAAGCTTAAATGCAACCTAGCTCCAACTGATTTTTTTAAGGATGAAAAACTAAAATCTAATCACAATATTTTGATATTATAGCATAACTTGATGGGGCTTAGGAAAATTTAAGGGGGCTAAAGCCCCACTAAAACAGCACTATTGACATTTAAGATGTATCATGTGTGTACGAGTGTGGAATTACAAATTTCCTTCCTAAAACGTAATAAGGTAAGTGACACTTGACAGGTTGTGTTACGCTGATTTGATTTTGTATTTTTGTGTTATTCAGAGTGCACCGTAGATTCACCGTCAGTCATCCCAGACCTGGCTAGCGTCTCCACACAACCTCCTGGGCCACATCTGCACTCAGTCCACACACAGTGGGAGGACCCTTCGCTAAAAGATCATCATCAATACTGCAACACGTCTGGCAGAAAAGATGTCCAGGACAAGACCACTCAGTGTGATGAAGTTGCATTTTTTCTTCTACAAAATGACGCAGACGCTTTGCTGTACACTGGTATAGCGTTAGAAACATTTAACACTCTTGTGTCAGCACTGGAAGGAGATGACAACAATGAATTTACAATGCCTGTACAAGATCAAGTCCTTATAACACTTATGAAAATAAAGACTAATCGTGTCTGCAGCCCTTGAGTTGATGTTATACTGCTGCTCTGCCTTGTGGTGTCTGAAGTTTATCATGCTTAGACGTTTGGGTTGAAGATTCTTTGCTGTCCCAGCATTCCACCTGCGCTGCTCATCTGTACATGCTAGCCCCGTCTTTCCACTGATCACAGCATTCTGGACCTGTAACAATTTAACAGACTTCAGCTATCACTGCTCCTAATAAAATGAAACAAGTTATTTACATCCCTGCTGTTGTCATTTATTTTTTCCTTTTCTGTAAATGTTAGGTTGCCTTGCATCCAGTCTGTACTTTTTTAAAAACAAATAATATAAAAATACTGTACAGCCTTTTTAATGTTTAATTTTTTGTGACAGTAGATCACAGGCTGCACAATGCTCTGGCTTCCACATGTAAACACAGGCAGACAGGAAGCTCACAGCTTTCGCCCAGTTCAGTGATTCTGATTCAGTGATGTAAATATTCTGATATCCAGATAAGTGATATACCTTCCACAGAATAGCTGCCGCATGACTGCATGATTTTCCCAATCCGGCGATACAGGAACAGCCGACCGTTTCTACCACTCCACTTTCTCTGAGCATGACCCATGCTAAGTGTTTAGCTTGACCAACGCTCTGGCTCGGCTCAACAGCTGCTTTCAGAAAGATAAAGTCGCCTTGTTTCTTGAGCAAAACTGTATCTATTTTGTTGCTGTGGAGGTAATTATACGCCTCTGTGCTTTTATAATTCCGCAATTCCTCGCCATCGACGCCTTCAGAAAAAACAAGGTAATTAATAATATCGATGTAGGTAATTCCGGGCCATGATTTCATATCATCTACCCAGTCCGTGAGAAATGATGGGTGAGACACAGTTAACGACTTATCTTCGCAGCTTTTTAAAACATCCTTGCAATGTATCCACCTCTGATGTGCTGCCATTTACTTCAGGTAAAGGAAACTTTTGTGTCAAAAACATTAAATTGCTAGCAAGTGTGTTAACCCACAAACGTAAACAACAGCGCGGGATCGCGGGCGGAAGTAAACAACCGGCTTCCGCTATGAATTATGGGTAGTGGCGCCAAATCCGGAATAAGGTGGATAGTGAGGAGTGAGAAGGAATTCTGCATGTACATCTAGCTTACAGAACACCTGTACTTATAACTCCACACTCTCCATTCTTTGAAATGAGAAAGCTCCTCAGATGAGAAGCTAAATGTCTTAAGTTACAAAATAAAGTCCAGTTGTTTTGTTTGAACCTTTTTAGATTTTATTTGCCATGTCCTGGATGATGGAGAATACCAGCATAGACCCTTGACCCCAATCTCTGGGGGAGGGGCAGAGAATGGGGTGTTCTCTTCAACCAATAGGAAAACAGCAGTGGGATTAAAAAAAAACAAAAAAACAAGGTCCAATCAGGATTAGGGGCGGGCCGTCTTCTTTCCTCCATTCTTGCAAACTTCCCTGTAAAGGATCTGCACAACTGTGGGACAACCACGGGTCTGACTGCAATACTAATACAGTACCTGTATGATTGTAGTACCAGTACCCGTTTGACTGCAGTACTAATACCTGTGTGATTGTAGCAGTAGTACCTGTTTGATTGCAGTACTAATGCCTGTGTGATTTTAGTACTAACATGTCTTGAGTGTAGCACTAGTACCCGTTTGACTGCAGTACTAATACCCGTCTGATTGCAGCACGTGTACTTTCACATGGACTCAGCACTCTCTTTGGTCTCCGTGCTGTCACTGTTGGCATGTAGCCTCCAGGTGTTGGCTGCTGTCCTGCTGGCTGGCAGATACAGTGGGCGGAGTTCTCCCATGGACAGATGGATTCTGCTGTGGCTCTTCTATGATGTTATCGTCCACCTGACTCTGGTGGGAGGAGATTGTTCTTTCCATCTTGTTCTTTGACTAAATAGATCTGTTTTTGCGTAGAGGAGGGTCCATTTGTTTACACACTTGTTCTTGTTTGCAGGAAGGTCCATTTGTTTACATGTCTCTGGTTGGGACAGTAGAGACGTCGAAGGGTCCGCTGGCTGAGTTATGTGAGTTTGTCACGTTGTATTTTGTAGTGTTGTCGTGTATGTCTAAATAGTATTGATACATTTATGTACTATTGTGGTTTTAAAGAAGTACTGGTCATCTGACGGGACCAAACCAGTAACTAAAACCAGCAGCAAACTGAAAATTCAACATCCTGGTTCCTAAAATCAACACAGCCGCAAAGAAATGGAATACTGCAACAGTAGTAACGGAGACGAAGTGTATAATTATTCACTAAATGTCTGGTTCTTGGAACATCAGATTTGTATATTGTTTACAGTTATTGGGCAAACAACAACCATTGTCACGTGTGTGACAACCCCTCTGCATCTTCACTGGTCAAGCAGTGGTACTGCAACAGTTCAATGCTGCATCACAAGCTGCACCTGTGAAGATGTGAATTGAAGGGTTGTGTGGTTTGCTTCAGCACGTTCCTTTTCGTTTCTACCTGTCCAGATCTGGACAAGACTTTCACCTGGCATCTGCTTCAAAAATAAAATGGTTTTTACAGGAAACCAGCCACATTCTTCAGTCTTGACATCCACGTGCAATACTTTCAAACTGTTGGAACGCAACATAACTCCCTGTCTCTCCCTCACTTGTTTGTTTCTCACCTGTCTGTTTCTTACTTGCAGGGAAGGAATACGGTAAAGCAGACAGCCGTTGGTTGGTTTCTGATCCAACCATCGTCTCTGTGGAGATTCTCACTGTTGTTCTCGTCTCTCTGATTGCTCTACTGCTGATACACGCAATACTCAACAACAAGTACTACAGGTAATGTTCCTAAAGTACAGCAGGTAACACTGCTGAAGTACAACAGGTAATACTAAAAGTAATGCAAGTAATCCTGTTAAAACAATTCAGGTAATAAGAATTTATTGTATGCACTGCTATTAAAAAGGTCTTAAGTTTGTTTAATGTGATTCTGTGTTCAGGTAACTAAACCATTAGCTTTGCTAACCCATATTCTGATAATTAAACTGTTAACTTCACTAATGCTAAACAGATATTAAAAAAAAAAATAGCAGAAGCTAACACAAAACCGCTAAACACCAAGATGACTGTCAGTCTGTGTCACACATCTTCACCTCCTTCCAGGTGAAGCTGTGTCAACCAATCAGTGTGCCAAACGGTCTCTTTGAGACACGCCCACAACAGACAGGAACAAGCTTGTGAAAGTTTAGCAGACTAAGTTGGAAAAATCTAATTTAGAGGAAGCTAACTCCACTAAATGTTTCCAAAATGTATGAATATACATTATCTCAATGAAAAATTAGTTCCACAATAAGCAGATTAGCAGAACTGAGTCCACCAATGATGAGATTATTTATTGTCCTGTCCCTTTCAGTCGGTCTGTCCACCTCTCTGTTAGACTTGTAATCACCTTTACCTGGCTCCAGGCACTTCCTGCAGGTCGCTCTATGCGTGTGCGAGCTGTACGGAGGCTGGATGACCTTCTGTCCAGATTGGCTGCAGGGGAGTCCTCATCTGGAGACGTCTAACCGGCTCTACCTGTGGATCTACCTGCTCTTCTTTAACGGACTCTGGGTCCTGGTTCCGGTCCTGTTGCTGCTCCAGTCATGGTTCGATCTCAGAGATTTGCATGTGCTCAGATCAGACACCACAGTCTCCAAGAAGAAGCAGCTGTAGAGACGTTGATTTAATTTTTTTGGATAAACAAGTATAATTAGTATTTGTCAATAGTCAATAATCAGACTGATCAATAATTAAAACTTTATTGGTTTCATCTTAATAAATGGTCTCTCTTGTAAATGAGTCCTCGAGGCTCAGTGGGATTAACCTGTCTAAATAAAGGTTGAATGAATGAAAATAAAATTGTACAGTGTCAGACTGTCCTCTGGTTCTCCTCCTCAGCTCTTCCTAATCATCTTGTTAACAGAAATGAAAGCCTGTTGCAGACCCAGTCCTTGCACGGCGCTGCAGGCCTGGATCTCCCAAAGCCGGTCTGAGAAACTGGGAAGGTCCAGCTGGGTGGAGATCTGAGAGGAGGGAGAGAAGGAAAGGGAGAGGAAGATGAGACCAGAAAGTTCAGGAGGAATCTGGCTGCAGAGCACCCTGCTGCCCTGAACACAACAAATCTAAACTCATTAACAAAGTGAGGAAGCAGTTCCAAGAATTTTGTTTTCATCTTCTTCTACTTTTTATCTATAGTTAGGTCATGGACAACAGATCCAGGAGAGAAACCCAGACATCCCTCTCCCTAGCAACACTTTGTAACTCATCTTGGGGGACCACAAGACATTCCCAGGCCAGAGAAGACGCACAATCCCTCTAGTGTTTTCTGGGACTTCTCCAGGGCCTCCTACCAGTGGAAAACGCCCAGAAAACCTATAAAAGGAGATGTCCGTGAGGCATCCTAATAAGATGCCTGAACCACCTCAATTGACTCCTTTTGATGTGGAGGAGCAACGGCTCTACTTTGAGCTTCCCCCAGATGATGGAGCTCCTCACCCAATCTCTAAGGCTGAGTCTGGCCACCATGCAAAGGAAGCCCACTTTGGCCACTTGTATCCGGAATCGCAATCGTTTGGTCATGATCCAAACCTCATGCCCATAGGTGAAGGTTGGAACAGAGACAGACCAGTAAATCAAGGGCTTTGCCTTCAGCTTTTTCTCCACCATGACAGACTAAAGCAAGGCACTCAAGGCTTCAATCTGTCAATCAATCTCCTGCGCCATCCTTCACTTGTGAACAAGATACCCAGGTACTTAGGGTGCATTCACACCAGCCCTGTTTAGTCCGCTTTAATCCAACTCTAGCTCGTTTTCCTAGAAAGTCCGGTTCGTTTAGGGAGGTGTGAACGCACCATCGAACTCTGTCACGGAACAAAAAGGTGAACTCTGGCCCGGGCTAAAACCTAGGTCTCGGTCTGGTAGAAGAGAACTCCAGCGCGGTTCGAGTGCAGTGTGAATGTAAACAGACCGAGCCCAGCTCTACAGGACAAACACACATTTCTCTTATATGGAGCCGTCAGCTGTCTTGTGTGGAAAACAATATTCTCCATGGTCTTCTGTCTCATCTTCTGCTCATGCTAAGTCCATTTTTGAAAAATGACAAAATATAACTCCTAAAACTGCTAAAACTTGATGCCACTTCGTTTTTATTTTTATTTACAGAAGAAGAAGAAGAAGAAGACGTGTCTTCAGAGGTTTTTGTGTTGTTTCTTTCAGTAGTTCTTGGTGCAGCACCCCCACAGGCGAGCAGGGAAATAGGTTGGTTCAACAGGTTGCTTCAACAGGTTGGTTCAACAGGTTGCTTCAACAGGTTGGTTCAACAGGTTGGTTCAACAGGTTGACTCGACTGCACAGTGCAGTGTGAATGCAAACGCACCAGCTCAAATGTAACAAAAGGTCATGAATATTGGTCCCGAACTGAACCGAGTCTACCAGACTATCTGGTGTGAAAACGACCTTAAACTCCTCCGCCTGAGGCAAAGTCCAGTAGAATAGAATCATTATTTTTAGAGTCTTCTTTCTCCATGGCCTCTCCAAATTCCTCCCATGCCCGAGGTTTTGCATCAGCAACCACCGAAGCTGCAGTTCTTCTGACCAGCTGCTTCAGGAGTCCTCCAGGGCAGTCAAGTCCTGAAGTTCTCCTTCACTTTGACGGCCTGACCAGCAGCACTGATGAACTTCAGGCCACAGCTCTTGGAAGCTGCATGTATGGTGCATTTTACACTGTTTCATAATGTAGCTTATTTTTATTTTGTTTTATATAGGGCTGGGCGACATGGAGCAAAATTGATATCTTGATATTTTAAGATGAAGGGTGACATACAATATATATATCTCAAATTTTTTTCTTTCCATAAATAACAAAAATGTATTTGAGTCAAAGCTTTGTCCCAATTGTCACACAGGCACATATCATAAACAGCTGTAACTGCACAAAATAAATGTCTAAAAAATTAACTTTTACACATATTAGTTTCATCTGTTCCTACCAAACCCAGCCGGTCGAAGCAGATGGTCCTCTAGTCCTGATCCTGGTTCTGCTAAAGGTTTCTTCCTCATGAGGGAGTTTTTCTTTCCACTGTCGCCTTCATGCTTGATCAAGATGAGAGTTCTGTGATGGAGTTAAACTCAAAGCTGCTCCTCAGATAAATAATGTTAAATTATTATTTTTATATATGAAAGTTTCTGTTCAGTGCCTGAGACGATTCTGTTGTGACTTGGCGCTTTATAAATAAACTGAACATTTTTTTAAAGACTTTTTTTTTTTTACATATATTAAATACCGTATTTTCTGCCGTACTTCTTGCACCGCCTTATAAGTCACATCAGCCCATATTTGTCTAATAAAGTGGAAAAATCCATAAATATGTCGCTTTGCTGTATACGTTGCATCTATTATGCGTCACTGCTGACACGTCACATTTGTTACACGTCACCGCTGAGAACCCGGAAATCTGGACTGGTGTTGTGCCAAAAACCGATGGGCTGCCAAATGGCGGCCGCGGGAGTGTGCATGGGAGGACTTTAACAAGAATTTAACAAGATTAACACTTAAAAACAATTAATTGTTTGCTCAAAATTATAGCAAAGGTGTGTCTCAGTCTAACATTTGCTTAATAAAGGCACTTTAATGGTCAAACCAGCTGCATTTCGCCGGGGCGGTGCAGCAGTTTTGATGGTTCCAAGCAGCAAGCAGAATGAAGGTGGGGAGAATATGGCAGGCCGATTGACTCTTTAAAAGCTGGTGAAGATTGTCAATCATCCAGGACATGGTAAACCCAAAAAAGTTCCATGGAAAAAAACGGAAAAAAAAACAATAAAGTATAAAATATAGTATAATAAATAAAGTCCAGTTGTTTTTGTCTTGAACTTTTTGAATTTGTCATTGTAGCCACGTTTACCTATTGCATGATACAACAGTATGCTATACTGCTATTACTACTCTGCAGTCCCCCCCCCTGCTTTGCTTTGCTGCTCTGTCTGTGAAAATGCTTCTGAGCTTCTCTTGCATCTTCCGAACCATAACTATGGACTTGTTTTGATCAGTTGGTCCCTCAACTCAATTTACAACATTTCTTCAAAGAGAAGACAGGCTTTAGGCGAGCCGATTTGCCCTGTTGGCACGCACACAGCTGGATATCTCATCGACTTGAAGACTTACCATACCATACCACTTTATTTATAAAGCACTTAAAACAGCAACAAGGCCAACCAAAGTGCTGTACAGACAGAACAACAGGTAACACACAAAGCAAAATACAAAATGAGGTAAATCAGAATATAGACAAAAAACGATGCAGATAATGACGACAAACCAGTGTGGAGCATACAGGATCAAAACACAGATCATCCTGTGTCGAAAGCTATTGAATAGTGGTGAGTTTTTAAACGGGACTTGAAAAACGAGAGGGAGGGGGCCTGTCTGACAAGCAGAGGTAACTCGTTCCAGAGTCTTGGTCCTGCTACAGAGAAGGCCCTGTCACCTCTGCGCTTAAGACGAGTTCCTGGAACTGTGAGGAGCAACTGGTCCGCTGACCTCAGGGAGCGTGGTGGGACATACGGTTGTAGCAGATCAGAGAGAT